CAGTCATGTGCCGCCACACCCTGTTTGCTCTCCTCCTGTGGTCCTATGCTTGCCTACACACAAGCCCTGCTACACACAAGAATAATTCTTCTCTCTTCTTTTCTCTGGGCTGAATTGAGCCCAAGCCTTACAAAGTGCTTTGCCACTGAGTCACGCCCCAACCCGTATTTTAATTTGTGAATGTGATTTAAAGAAAAAAAATCCCGGATGGAGTTTAGAGTCACTTAGCCACACATATGTAAACCTTTCTCCCCCAACTTTGGCTCTGTAGAGCTCGGTTGTGCAATCCATTAGCAGGTTGTCAGGGAATGCGCCTTTTGGGGATGAAGGACAGTCCCTAGTACCCTGACCAACTCTCCACCCTCCCTCTCTGTTTCCTTCTGCTGTTTTCCCAGGAACCCATCTGCCTCCCCCACTCTGCCTCTGGCCCATATGACTAATTCCCTCTAATTGTCATGGATCAAATAGCAGCAAAATATTTCCAGTTGCCCGTCTCCTGTTTTCCAATTGTCCCTCTGTTATACGTCTAAGTAAACATTTGTTCTGCTTATCGTTTCTCAGCAAAGACATGAATCACTCGCCCAGAAGAAACCACAGAGGCAGCTGTTGCCGATTAGGAGCTGACATTTGGGAATGGGCCCCGCTAAGCAGGGCTCCAGAGTGAAGCATGGTTTTGGCTGGTCCTTCTCCTAGAAGCAGCAGCCTAGGGCACTATGGGGCACTAGCAACAGGGTCTGCCCTACCGTCTTCTAGGGAAATGCTGGACTATCAAATGTTCCTGCTTGGTACGGTGCTAACACAAATGCAATCTCAGCACTAGGGAGGTAGGGCCAGGAAGACCGCAGGCCTAAGCCCACCAGGCTGCACAGGAGACCCAAAAAAGAAAGAGGAGGAAGGAGTGGGGGGGAAGAAGGGTGACAGAGGAAGGAAGGGAGGACAGGAAAGGGAAGGGGAGGAAGGGAAGAAATATTTGAATTTCCTTTCAGTTGCTGTTCTCTGGGGGCAGTTTGGGTACAGAGCTGGAGTTCAATAATAGATATGTCCTCCATCCCTCTGATTTGGGTTTTCATCTTCCTTAGTTTCCCGTTGGGTCAATCTACTCGTCTTCCAAAAGGACGTGAGAGGGAGTCACAGGCTGGGACATGGAACCCCAGGGCTACGGGGTCTTGTAAGGAGTGCCCTGCTCTGCCTCTGCGCCTTGGGTGGTGTCTGGCTGTCCCCATTTGCGGACGCGTAGGAGAAGAGATGCCTGAAGTTTTCTTCTTCCTTCTATCTCATGCCTTTTGCAGGGTTGACTGCTCGCTTGATAAAAATACAGGCGTTGTACCTCCGCTCCGTGTTCTTGCTTTATTCAGATGTGACTGCTGCTGCTGCTGCTCTTGGTCTAGGATGTGCTTATCTGGGAGAGATGTGTAGAACCCCCTCCCACTCAATTAACCCAGACACTATTATTACATCGTCAGACAGCTGTTAGGATTGTTCGCCAACAAAGAGAGAGACGGCAAAAGCTCCAGGAAGTAGGGGACCCATTGGCTGTCAGAGGTAAAGGAAAGTCCTCAAGTTGGAGGAAGGAGTAATGTGTAGTCACCCAGGTAGCGGGGGCAGCTGGAGCATGGGTGGCAGACAGAATGCCACAGGGACAAGACCCCAGACCCATGAGTTATCTGCTGTTTGACCTTGAGGAAAATCTTTCTGAGAGGTTGTAGGTGGATGTGAAGAAACTTCACCACACATACTGAAAAAAACAAAACCGAAAACAAAAACAAGCAAACGGAAACGAACTATCGTTGGCTTTAGGGAAAAACAAACCGAGAACGGCATTAATTCAAATCATGCTGCTTGACTCAACAGTATGAACAGCAAACATTAATTTAACAAAACCGTCTTGAAAGAACTAAGAAGAAGAGACAGGAGTAAGAAGGCTAAAGTGACACCCTGGCAAAAACCGGGAGCGCGAACTGGGAGCCAAGTCATTACTATTGTTGCTGATGTTTTGTACAGCTGGGGAGGAATTTGAGGAACTTGTGCCTGCTGGAGAAGCTGTTCTGTCTCTGAGCCACGCCCCCCAGCCCCTCACTAGGGAGTTCTAGGCAGGGGCTCTACCACTGAGCCACACACCCAGCCCTGACTTGGGCATTCTAGGCAGTTATCCTATTGCATATCACTATCCACGGCTCCTTGGAAGCCTTGTCTTTAGAAGGCCTGTTCGATCGTGCTACCTTAGGGGGTGGGGGCCGACTCCAGAGATGTACCTTTCCTCTCCGACAGTTCGTGTACATGCGCATTAGGAAAACGGAAGGGAGTGTGTCCAGAAACAGAAAAACTGTTTTGGCCTAGGCTTCATAATCGGCTTACGAGTGAGGGAAGAATGACTCCGGCCCATGATTTAAGGGGTTCTGTCCGTGGCTGGTTGGCCCCAGTGCCTCTGGTAAGAGCGGGACAGCACAGAGGCACCTAGCGAATGTGGGGTGGCAGGTGTCTGGAGGGCGCACGGAACAACAGAGGCCTCACATCAGTGATGACCAGGGATCGAAGAAGGAGCAGTGTGGAAAGGTCCAGATTTCCAGCGCGCCCTTCAAGGATGTTACCCCTGTCACGACCCATCCCTGGGACAGAACATCTGGCAGGCAAACTGTGGCAGGAAAGGTATGTTTTTCCCCAAGGTGTCAGTCCATCATGGAAGGGGGAGGCGTGGCGGGATGGATAGCCCCGCCCACAGCAATGGAAGTGCAGCTTACCGAAAGGCAGGCTGGTTGGGAGCAGGGTAGCTATGGACTTCAAAGGCCCACCCCCTTCTTCTGGCCATGTCCCATCCATTAACATCCCCAGAGTCTTTAAAATAGTCTCAGGACCCAGCACCCAGAACGTGGCTCTCTCTGTAGGGGACAATTCCTACAAACCAGAACGGCCTGCTTCCTCCAGTGAGGCCAAAGCCGCTAAAGTACCATCAGCCGGGGTGATGCCTTCTACACAGGAGCCTTGGAGGGGTGGCACTCCAAATCTAAACCATGACAAAGGATGATAGTGTTTACGTTTCTCGACAAGTGACAAATCACCCTGAACACCTCAGAGCCCCCTGTTACTTCCTCGAGGTCAAGGACATCCAAAAAAGGTTCTTCGTTCAAAGGGCTCCATGTCCATGATTGTAACCGTATTTGACCAGAAGGTTCTGCTCCACACCAGGGTCTACTTGGAGCAGACAGAACCCAGCTCGGCTTGCCAGTGGCCCAGATGGCCATTGTGACTGTAAGGCCACATCCAACGTTCAGTTGGTGCTCGCAAGTGTCTGTGGAGCAAGTCTTCAACTGGAAGCAAGACCAACTCCCTGACATCACAGGCCTTTGGGGAAAGCTGGACAAACCGGTTCTGGCCAGGCATTGAAGACCTAGATAACTTACTGCTTAAAGCAGAGACAACAGGTTGGGGGGGGGGGCAAGCCCAGTGAAGATCTGGAAGAGAAGCAGGCTAATGTGTCCCCGCACTCTGGCTCAGGGCTCCCTCTCCCAGGAGCTCCAGGGATCTGCTAAGAGGAAGGCAGGGTGGTTAGGGAAATCCCCCCTTTACCGTGTGATGGTCAGGGTTATTGGGTGCTGTGGGACACTTCTATCGTTTCGGTCCTAAGGAATAGGCCCAGAGTGCTTCTGTCCGTACTTGCTTTAAAGCCTACTTGTGGTCCTTTAACTGGGATGGTCCAAGGTCAACAGTGCCTCCTTTTGTCTTGCAGGGAAGGATTTAGAAGGGGAAACTCACAGTCCCGGTTTGGACTGCAGTCTGGAAATTTCCTGGGTTGGGAAAGAGTAAACCTCTAAAACTTAGCTGCTCACGTCTCGGCCACTGGTCTCGGTGACTTCTCAGTTGCTGTGATAAAACACCATGATCAGGACAACTTATATAGCAAGTGGGTTTACTTGAGCTTACAGTTCCAGAGGGAGAAGTGTCCAATCATGGTGGGTAGGCATGGAGGGTCTATGTCCTGCCCTGGATGATAAGAAGCAGGCTGAGGGACAGGAGCAGGAAGCTGGGAGCTTCAAACACAAGCAGGAAGCAGAAGGGGGAGGGGACTGGAAGTGTGGGGATTTTCACTCTCAAAGTCCACTCCAATGAGGTACCTCCTACCGCACGGCCACACCTCCTAAACCTCCCAAACACCACCACTAACTGGGAACCAAGTGTTCAAATGCCTGCGATTTCAAAACTACTTTCAAAACTACTACTCTTGTTTCAGAGTCCTGCACCTGGATCTTGTGTTCTTAGTGTGACACCAAACTCCAAAGTGCGGATCCTCTGAGTATGAGCTGTAACCAGCAGATCTTGGCGCATAAGTGATCAGTGTAAATGTCTATTTCTTGTTCACACACCAGTCTCCAGCGGTTGAAGTTGTCCATGAGGCCATTCAAGACTCAGGTTCCCTCTGCTCTATGGTATCTCCTCATCCTGTTTGCCTTTGGTCAGGCTAGCGGAAGAAGGCAGCCCAGGGATTGGGGCGTTCCATGGAGTTAGAACGCACAACTTTTGTTCCAATCATCTAACCGAACTTACTTAAGGCCGGTGTTCAAAGTGGACTTCAAGTGAGAAAAATAGACTGCACGTATCTGTCTCCCTGTTCTGGTTTCCTTTGCGTTGCTGGGATTAAAAAATAACCTGACGCGTGAGGAGGCCTCAGAAATCTCTGGGGCCTTGGGTAGTAGATCAGTGTTCACCATGGCGTGCGAATGAACTTTGGGAGCCCATACCACAATGAGGGATGCTCTCTCAGCCTGGACACACGGGGGAGGGCCTAGGTCCTGCCGTGGATGAAATGACAGACTCTAGAGATCCCCCCCAAGGAGGACCTCACCCTCTCTGGGGAATGATGTGGGCATTGGTTGGGGTCTAGGGGGGAACTGGGAAGGGAGGAGGGGTGGGAGAGGGAGCTGGGATTGACATATGAAGCATGCATGTTTCTAAGTTAAATAAAAACATGTATTGAGGGGAAAAAAAACAACCTGACACAACACACCTCAGGGAAGGAAGACATTTATTTCATTCTATAACAGTCCATCGCGGCGGGGAAAGTCAAGGCAGGCCCTTCACACAGCTGGTCACATCCAGCCACAATCAGGAGCAGAGAGAAACGGGTGTATACATTCCCACTCGCTCACGCTCAGATCTGTTTTTCTCCTCCTACAGTTCAGTGTCCCCTGCCTAGGGAATGCTGGCACCCCTACCGGCCTGGGCCTTCCTACATCAGTTAACTTAGGTAAGACAATCTGTCATCCAGACAAGCCCACAGGCCAACCCAACATGGACAATCCCTAATCGAGACTCTGTCTATCCAGGTTGTTTTAGGTTATGTCGAGTGGACAGTTAGAGATAACCACCACAGTCCCCAAGAAGAATTACATCTACCCCCGGAGTCACCGTTCCTCCCCTGAACTCAAAGCACAAACTGGCCTTTAAGGATGCTCCGTGTGAACCTGGCACAGGCTGAGCCAATGAACAACCTTGTGCAGATCTAACACAGAGGAGAGACACCAGGCTCGGAGCTAAGCTCCACCTAGAATCCACCAGGACCCGGACCCATGCAGCCTCTCAGATGACGCCAGGCCTGCAGCCACCCACTGTGGTTGCCTCAGAAAGAAAAGATCGAAGGCTGGTCTTTACAGCCACACAAACCTCATCCTGGCCTCTGGCCACAGAGGTCACATCTGTGCTGAAACTCGTCAGCACAGTGCCAGGCAGGTGGGCAGCAATCCCCCAGCTGAGATATAGCTACATTAGGAAACTCTAATTTTCGCTCGTCTGTCTTGGGTTAGTCTCAGAGTCCAGGGCTGAATGATGGAGAAGTGGGCCGTGTCCTTGAGAGAGAGAGCGGGAGAGAAGGAACAGAGGTAAACAGGCTGCAAATGCATTTTTATAGGGAAAAAATGGGACTCAAGAATATATTTATCCCCCTCCACATCTCCCCCAGAAACCCTTCTCTTCTGTAATCTCTGCCCTCTGCTGCTGCTTCTTCACCTCCCCAAATAGCCCCTTGCTTTTCTCCTGGGTCCTATGCTAGGCATCTTGCTGGGTACCTCTGTGCTCTAGAAAGATCTATGGAGTGGAGCCTAGAGATCATTTTCAGACCCTCACCTTCAAATCACAGACCTTAGCACCACACGCTGCCACGGCCCACTATCCACTATGGCCCTCACACTGTCACATCTGTGTGGCCCAGACAGATTACAGCATCCTCATTTGTCTCCTGGATCTTACCTGTGTCTCCTGAAGCAACTCTTCGCGGTGCGTGTGTGGCAGCCCAAGTCTGCCATCCCAGAACTGCGGAAGCCGAGGCAGGAAGATGGTGAGTCCAAAGGTATGTTCAAAAGCAAAAGCAAAAACAAAAACACCGCAAGAAACAAAAACCAACCAAGCAAACAAACAAAGGTCAGTGTTAGAGCACTTGCCTAGAATATAATCCACCAATGAGGGCGTGGGGTGTGACTTGGTGATAAGGTACTTGCCTAGAATTTACCATCGAGGAGCTGGGGACGTTGCTTCAATGTGATGTGCTCCAGTTCTTAGCACTGGAAAGAAGGAAGGAGGGGAGGGAGAAGGGGGAGGGAGGGACAGAAGGAGGGAGGGAAGGGGGGAGGACTGGGGGAGGGAGGGAGGTCAGTTAATCCAATCTCCAACCCTTCCTCTCCCCTGTGTGAGGGCCTCCACTGGCTTTCATGGGCTCAACTCTCTAGTCAGTTAATTCCAGCCACAATCCAATGTTGGTTTTATTCGTTTAAGTTGAAGTTCCTAAATAATGAGGGTCTTCTGGGCTTTTTTTGTTCACCCCTTTGTCCCTAATATTGAATTCATGTATTTTTTTAACAAGCAGTTTTTTTCACCTTTCAGTGGAGACAACGACTTCTGTGTGTTCTGTACCTCGGTGCCTTATAGGATTAAAGAATAAAATGAAGCCTGGAGCCCAGTGTGGTAGGTTCCTGTGATGCCAGCACTGGAGAAGCTGAATGATCTCAATTTAGGGCCCAGCCTGGGCTACAGAAAAAAAAGAAGGAAAGGGAGGAGAGATGGAGAGGGGAAATTGGTGGATTGGGGAGGGGAAGAGGTAAGACAGAAAACAGGAAGAAAAGATGCCTCAGTGGATAAAGCATTTGCCATGCAAATTCAAATCTCCAGCACCACATAAAAGCCAAGCAGACCTAGAGGCCACCTGTACCCCAGAACTCAGCCAGCAGAGAGAAACAGAGGATCCCCAAGGCAAGCTGGGCATCCCTGAGGCAAGCTGACGGCCTAACCCAAGCTTGAACAGCTAGCCCAGGTAAGAGACCTGATTCCATAATCAAACTGGAGAGCAGTTGAGGAAGGCTTCAGGCCTCCAAGGCATACATACACACACACACACACACACACACACACACACACACACACACACACACACACACACACAGAGTAAGAAGGTAAGAAGCAAAAGAGGGCAGGTGATTAGAAATCAAGAAAAGCATGCGTACAACACAAGGCAGAAATGTTCTCGGCACTCTGCTGAGATGTTAATTTCGCAAGATGCTTTAGTTGGCTCTCCGTTTCCGGTTCCGTGTTTTAGAACCATTTTGGCATAGTCCACTAGAAACAATAGCTCCGGAATCACACACTCAGTCCCGGATGGAAGACCCGGGAGTCTATTGAAAATAAATTAGTAATGCCTCATTCTCAATGAGAAAAGTCTCAGGGAGATTTATAATTTTATTTTTTTCTGAGTGCACAGAATAACATAAATCAAAAGGAGCAATACTCTACCTTGTGTTTTGACTACTTTGACCCTCTTCAACCTCTGCCAATTTTTATCTCATTTTTGTTTAACTTTATACATCAGAGTTTAATTTGAGAGCTGGTCCAGAAGACAGTGATGTATAGGTTATATCAAGTGTGGCCGAAATTACCCTGTCCCCGGGGACTTCAGAATGAAGGGAGGGTCCCGGTCGTGTGGCTGGGGTAGAAGAGGGATGGTACATCTTGCCCCTTGAACCCAGCCTCCCTCCACCCAGCCGCCTTCCCGCTGTCTCTCATTTATTGATTCGGCCCCATTTGAAGAGCTCACAAGATTGCGTCCACCCAGAGCTCATGCCTCCTGCCCAGCCGCAGGGCTCTCTCAGCATCAGCTGCTGTGGACAATGTCATTTTCCAAACCTGAAAAAGAGTTCTATTAGCATTGATTTTTCCTCTTTTAAATTGTTATCTTCTCGGGAAAGTGTGCCCAGTTGGCAGCGTCGTCTGTCTAGCCCAAAGAGATTGCTGGATTTGTTTGTCTGAAATGTCCAGAGAGATGTCGCCATCCACCTCACTGGGTTCGTGGGCAGAACGGACGCAGGAGCTGGGCACGGTGGTACAAGCTTAGAACCCCCGTTCTAGGGGAAGCCGGAGCGGGAAGATGGTCATGAGTTGGCGGCCAACATGTTTGGGATTCTACATTATGTACTGCCGTGGCCCAGAAGATTTTCTGTTCTTTTCTTTTTCAACTTTAGCTTTTCAGGGCTCAGCATTTTTTTAAATGTGCTTTTCCTTCTAGCCCTCATCACAGACTGAACTCACACACTGTGTGATTTGATCTGTGTCTGTCTCCCAAGCAGGATACCAAGGACACAGACTTGTTCTGCAATGAAATGCCAGTGAAGGTTCTGTGTGTTTATTTGCACAGAAGGACAGAACTAAACACCTAGGAAGGGCTCAAAAACAAAAAATACGTGTGAATTATGCATGTAGTGGTCGGGGTATTCGGGCAGGTGTGTGCCACTGCTTGTGTGTGGAGGTCAGAGGGCAACTTTTGGGGGTTTGGTTCTCTCTGTCTCTTGTGGGTTCTGGAGACTGAACTCGGCTTGGCAGGTTTGGTGGCAAGCTCCTTTACCAATGAGCCATCTTGCCAAGTCCTACCAGTGAGATGGTTGGCTCTCCTGGAACTGGGTAGATGGCTGGGCCCACAGAGAGTGAAGATGAGTCTTCTGCGGCCTTGTGTTCCTGGGCACTCAGGTAGGAATGAGAGCAGCAGGCAGGGGATTCAGGCTATGTTTTGGCCATCTGCTTTGCTGTTAGTCCATGAATGTTGAGAAGGGACACCAGGAATCCGTTGAAAGATGGATAGATGGGAGCTGGGTGACGATGCCAGTCGTGGCCAAACCCCCTGGAACATTCTGTATATGCTCCTGCACTATTCTCCATGGGATCTACTAAGCCACACGTGAGGCTACTGAGGCTCAGCGTGTGGAAACTCTGAATCAACAGCAATCCTATAGAATACACGGCAGTGATGGGAGATGTCATTCTGAAATCTGCCTCTTATTGGTTGTTGAATAAAGCACGAAGCAGTTTGTAATGACAGACGTCCAAATCCCCATATTGTTTATAAATCTTTGTTTTCATTTGAATGGGGTTGCTTATAATTGGTTAATGATTGCAACTGATGTCTTTTTAAAGGAAAAAAGGGATTATGGTATGGAAATAAGTACTTTGTATTGGTATGGTTTTTCATTTATTGATACAAATTCAAGGTCAATTTTGTGATGTGTATATTTCTCCTCTTGATTAAGTATTGTGCTTATACTGATCTTTGAAAAACATAATGCATAATTAAATACAGACTATAGATAGTTACTTATATTATTCAGAATTTATAGTTAGGTTAAGTTAGGTTTTCTAGATGTACAGAGATATATTTGAGATAGATAGATAGCCTTCAGACCTTTCAAAGACCTTCAGAAAATGGCATTTAAAATGGTTTAGGGTTTCTCTTGACAATGAGAAATGTCTGCTCCTGGCAGCACCAATTACGTCTGAGAGGAAGATGGGCATCGAAGAAACGCTTTATGGAGTTTGCTTTCAACATGGCAAGACTAGCCATTTGGGCAAAAAACGCTCTTGCCTAGACTGCTTGACTGTTGCTGTATAAACTGGACATGCAGGACCCACAGGAAAGTGACTACTGAACTCAAACAGTCCTTCAGGGTTCCTGCTTCATGGAAGAGTCTATGAGACTTTCTGCAGGACACAGAGAAATGACTGACAGACTGCCAATGCAGATGGACAGTTTGAGATTTCCTGCTTTGCTGAGAAGTCTTCCAGACACATTGTGGCTTTATGGGCTGACGATGGATGCCTCAACATTACAGAGGAACTTTAGGTGACTGTCCAGGCAGCAAGATGTCTCTGTCGATCTTAGAGTTTATACATTATCCTTCTGTGGTCTTTGATGGAGTTGAAGGTAGATAGTTATAATTATAGTTTTCCTTAGTTATGATAAAAGATAAGCTACATATAGGACTTTGGACTCACAAGGATGGGATAGATGATATTTTCTTTAAATCTTGCTAAATGTTGATAGACAAAATGTTGTAACTGTGTTCTTGCTTGATAGCTGTTCTGTTATATATAATCTGACTATGTTAAAGTTAAGACCTTTCTTTTTGTTTAGACAGAAAAGAGGAGATGATGTGAAAGTCCTGTGTATATGTCAATAAAGCACTGTTGGCCAATAGGGAATCAAGATAGGTGGGACTAGGAGTCCAGGAGGACTCTGGGAAAGAGAGACACAGGGAGTCACCATGCAGCTGCCATAGGGGTAAGAAGGATGGACCCTTTTCTCCGGTAAGAGAAATACTTAGATTAACAATTATGGAGTAAATACTTAAGTCAGAACTAGCCAATAAGAAACAAGCAAGGGCAACAGCTTCATAATTAATACAGCGTCTTGTGTGTTACTTGGGGACTATAAAGCGGCAGAGCCAAGGCAACTGTTGGGGGGGGGCAACCAAAGCGGCTGGCAAGGAAAAGGCTTCTCTCTACACGGGAGTTTTCAAATATCTTCTTGAGAGAAATGCTAAATGTCGCCCTAATAATTTTTGCACCAGAAAAAAATCCTTATATAAATATCCACCATTGAATAATTGGATAATCGCTGTTGGATTTTTGTCCCTTTGTGGCTGGAGCTGTGTTAAACATTTTACCATCTAGTAACTGCATCAGAGATGTCAATCCTAGAGAAACCGTCTAAAACAGGTTTTAAAAATATCTTTATGTGCAGTTATACATTGTAACATCCTACACTCTAACAGAAAACCTAAACAAACAGAAAACACCGTAAATGTTTAAACAGCAGGATGGTAACAATAACAAGAGAGATGCCGGGGAATCCAGCGCCCTCTTCTGGCTCCTACAGGCAAGGCACTCACTTGCATAAACTGACACGCAGATGCCCATGCATTTACAAAACTACAAATAAATTTTAAATCGTTAAAGAACCGTAACCATAATGCAATGGAGTGCCATATAATCATCACGGTGTACCAACCATTAGAACACGGCAAAACATGATAAGAAGCTGAAACAAAAAATCCCAACCTCATCCTCTCTTCAATGTGGCCGTCACTACGGAGGAAGAGCCCAGAAGGCTTGATGAAGTGGTGGCGGTCAGGCCAAGGTGCCAACCTCTGTTTTGGGGGGGTTAAGAGGATGATTTCTTTTCCTTTTTTTTTGTAAATTTTATTTAAGGAGCATTTGAGACGAGCCTTACAGGTACATCAAATGAAAACGGCTGGTCTAAGTTCTGCCAATGCTGCAAGCAGTGAGATTTATCATCCTTGTGGTCCCTTTGAGGGACACACACATCAAACTCCAAGCTTTTAGGACCATCCTATACACCTTGGGCTTGGCAGGAAGGGTGGGCTTTTAGCCAAGGGACTATCTCTCCAGTCTACCTAGGATTCCTTCAGACCCTAAGGTTCCAGGGCATAGGTCTGGATCCCCTCTCCTCCCTCCCTCCCTCCCTCCCTCCCTCCCTCCCTTCCTTCCTCCCTTCCTCCCTCTCTCCCTCCTCCTTTCCCCATCCCTCTGCCTTTTCTCTAGCAGAGCTGGGGCATCATCAGCATCCAAGGCTTTCCTGGTGAGTTTCTCTTTCACTGGTCTTCTACCTTAGAACCCCCGAGAGAGTGAACCCTGGAGGCTGACCTAGGAAGCCTTTCAATAGACCGCTACATGGCATCTGCTGAGGTGTTTGCCCTATGGAGCCCAGGCAGTAGAGGGGAGAAAGAAAGAAAGAAAAGAAAAGGACAGTGGTGAATGCTACCTCCCTGGGCTGTGGCTCTCTGGAAGAACAACTCTTCTCAAGGAGATCCCTGCCCGTAGTTTTGGTTCCCCAGGACCCTTTACCCCCAGTAGGCCTCAGAATAGCATTGGCACCGTGTCCTTACTGTCTCCTGCTTTCCTTTGCAAATAGTCTCCATAAGGAGTCCTTTGTGTGCGCGGTCATTCGAATCTGAGTCTGTTTTCTCCCCTCCCACCAGAATCCTACCTGACTGAAAACTTAATTTAAAAATACAATGTCAGGGGTTCTGGAGCATGCTTATAATGCCTTAAGGGTGCTGCTGGCACACGTTTGTAATGCCGGCACTCAGGTGACTACTAGAGCAGGGGGGAGGACTGGAAGGTCAAGTCTAGCCTGGGCTACTGGACTATGTAGTGAAACTCCTCTTTGTCTCTCTCTTTCTCTGTCTCTGTCTCTCTCCGTCTCTCTCTGTCTCTCTTCTCTCTCTCCTCTCTCTCTCTTTCTCTCCTTCTCTCTCTCTCTCTCTCTCTCTCTCTCTCACACACACACACACAGACACATACACACATGCATGCACGCATGAATGTCTGTCTGTTCCCCACAATGCATGGGGAAGAGGCGTAAATCTCTGTAGAATCACAGCGTTCCTGAGACTGGCCCCGTCTTACCATCATGCTCTGTCCTCAGAAGGCTGAGAGAGCTGGGCCGAAGACAGGCATTAAAATCAAGTTAGGTCAGGAGGGTGGAGGGAGCCAGGGAAGAGGAAGAATCTGTTCTAAGGGAGGGGAGAGGTGAACCGGGAAAGAGAGGGCATCGGGCATCGGGTCACGGCTGAATGTAAGTATAAAAGGGGACCGACCTCCCGAGGAAAAGGAGAAATTCAGCAACCTTAAGACCAAGGGAGAGAGAAGGGTGGAGGAGGAGGGGCCCAAAATAGAAAAAAAATTATGTATGAAAACTCCACAAGGAAGCCTAGCATGTTCTATGCTAAGTTAAAATGAATGAATGAATGAATGAATGAATGAATAAATAAATGAATAAGTAGGGACCGGAGAGAAGGCTCTGTGATTAAGAGTGATTGCCAGCACCCGTATGGGGGTGGGGGCTCAGAACCACCTATAGGGACCAGGGAGAAGGCTCTGTGATTAAGAGTGATTGCCAGCTTCCATATTAGGGGGAACTCAGAACCACCTGCAACTCCAGCGCCAGGTGGATCTAACACAAACATTGGCATCCAAGCCATCTCACTTCTAGAACTGCTTGGGGTGGGTGGGTGGAGGAAAATGACAGGGACTCAGGCAAAACCCCCTTCCCAGCATCACCCCAGGAACCACAGCTAGTTCTTGTGAGGTTCCTGCAGAGGGAAGGAGGTCCTAGCGGGGCAAAGCAGGGCCTCACACCGGGAGACAAAGAACATTTTGAGGAGAAAGTCGCTTGTTTATTTAAATACTGCACTTATGTAACACACCAGAAAGAGAAATATCAGAGTCTGCTGCACTAATCAAGAAGGGGGAAATGCATGTTGAAAACGACAGGAATGGATAGTATTTGCAGTAAAACAAGTACGCAAGAAAGCCATTGAAAGCTCTTTGCCAACACCCCCTAAACGCGCGCGCGCGCACACACACACACACACACACACACACACACACACACACACACACACTGTTTCTTTTCTTTGGAGAAGTCTTTCTCTTCAACTCCCTTTGGGAAACTTCTTATAAATGAGGATTTGCGTCTCAAGGGATTACTCTGGTTAGGAAAGTGTTTTATTAAAAAAATATATGTTTGCCACAGAACGTAGAGCAATATAATTAGCTGGTCCCTCCTGTTTTATTTTAAAGGGCTGTGTGGCCAAGTTCTAATTAAACATATTCTCAGGACCTTTGCAGTGAGAAGGTGCCTTCAGAATCTCAAAAGGGACTCTAAGAATAAGGAAGCAAAGGCTCAGGGGGTGTAGCCCAGGTTATCGGGCACGTGGCACTGTGGTCTCCTTCCTGTCTCCCTCTGTACTGTGAACACAGATCTACTGACTTGTCTCACACCGCCACTGTTGGGATGTGGCCCGCTGCCCTGTGTTCTCAGAGGTCACACAGGAAATGGACTGGTTTTGTTTAATCAAAGGCTGCACGAGTCCTGGTGGGGATGCCGGGGAGAAGAGTCCACATCAGGGTATCACCTTTCAAGTGAGAATCGCTGAGATCCCTGCCAGCTAGGACATTCTGGTTTGGATATGGCCCCTTTCCTGGTTCCTGACACAGTGGCACAAGAGCAGTCCAGACGATTTGTCTTGCTTTGCTTTTTGAACCTGGGAATAAAATTATCCTCTGACTTGCTATGTAAAGCTTGGCAGGGG